GTGCACCTCCGTCCGTTGAGAGCTTAGTAGTAGGGATCTGTGGGTTAGGGATGGGGAGGGTCATGCCATATACACAAACGAGACACAAGCGTCTACATACCTGTGCCTCCCCGTGTGGAGTGTGTGTTCCCTGAGGATCTGTGGGTGCTGTGCCCGGGGGTACGTGCAGCCACAGGCTGATCCAGGGCCTCTTCCTAGAGTATCGGTTTTACCTGGTGCTCTTTTAAAGGGAGGAAGCTCACTTAACCATTAGATTCTTCAAAATGTTTTATATTAAAACAAACACGGAGTAGGATGACAAATTTGCATGAATTTTTAAGTTAAAATAGAAGACTTCAGGCCATTTTATTATGGAGAGTCACTTAGGTTTTGCCCTGACATCGTTTCCTACTCTCCTCAGCAGTCGGGGGCTAATCTGGAAAATCTTGAAAAGTCCATGTCTGGAATGGGAAGGGCAGGGCTGGTCACATCAGGCCAGGACAGAGTGGAGGGAAGTGGGGAGTGGGGCACCTGCCTGTAGGCCTAGTTACCCAAATAGTCTCTGTCAGGGCCCCTAACAGAGGTCATTTGGGCCCAAGCCCACTGCAGAGTAGAGGAGAAAGTGGCTCTGACGGGGCGACAGGGTGCTATGTGAATGCAAAGATGGGCCAAGGAGCAGTGAATGGTGCCAAGGATAGGCTGCAGGGGCCTTCAGCACCCTCTCTCTCTCAGTTGTCACCCCAAATACCCCAAGTCACCTCAAATAAATACATTTTCCAAGGGAAAATGGTATGCTGTGTAAGTGTAGCTTCAAGAGCAGACCCTTGGCCCTCCACATCCCCAACTTGGAAGTCATCCTAAGACCCTTTTAATAGAAATTCTGGGCCCACACTGTCATTTATGACCATCAGAGTGGTGTGCAGTGTGTTTGTTGGGGGAAAGGAAGCTGCATTGACCAAATGTGTAATTAATGGTTCCTTTAAAGAGAGCAACGCGGGTCTGTTTAGGCAGCCTTCCTAGGTCATCCTCTCTTTCTCAAATGGACCTTATTTCACAAATGGGAAGCCTAATTGGGAGTCAAGTAATTGGCTTCATTGACTCCTTATTTTCACTGTTCATTTCCAGGCCCCATTATTTAAAAAAGTTTCTTATTGTAATTTAGGAAAAAAGTTTCCTGTTACCTGGGAATCAGTTACAAAGCTACCCAGAATTCAACTCTCCTGACATTTCTCTTTTCCTGAAGGGCACCTCTGTTCGACTACTCTTAGTGAATTAATGTTAGTATCTCTTTCCAAGATGATGTTTGATTGTATAGAGATGCACATGAATTTACTCATAACTGATTTCTCAAACCCTTAATATGTAAGGTCTTTTAGAGGGAATATTAGATACTAAAATAGGAACTTTTCAGTAAGTTTTCTTATTGCATATAATAGTTCATGTTTTTCCTGAAATGCTCACAGTCTAATATTTTACTTTTGACTTTCTTTTATAGTTGGAAATTGGACCCAATTTTAGAAAAGAATATTAATGGTGCTAATGTGCTATGTGGAGTCAGGTAAAAGACTGTGCTAATATCCTGGCTCAAGTGCTGAAGGACTACCTGGCAAGGAGGTTACGTAGAAGTAGCTGAAGTGGCTAACTGCTGTATTTATTTCACACGCAACTGAACTGTTGGAAAAGCTCTAATTTTATGTAGTTGCGTTATACCTGAGATGTTCAAAATTCTTCATGATAAAAATATAATTCATGGCTTACCAAATGAAACCAAATAGCTAGAGCAATTTATGAGAGTACATGTTATCAGAAGCATTGTACTGACTGAAGCACACGACTTAAATAATTTGCCCTAACATTTTCCAGAGACAAGTTATTCCCTCCCTTTCCAATTTAGTGTATGTTGAAAAATGGAACTATGTTCTTTAATCTTAGTTGCTGAAAGCAAAGTTTAGGAGAAGTTAATAGTCTTACATTGCATAATACTGTTTGATATCACTTTTCATTTTCTTTTTAAAAGTCAAATAAAGTTTAATTTTATGGTCTGATTGTTTATTACTTAGAATCCATTATCCCTTTTCATTTCAACAAGATTTTGAAAGGACATTCAATTCTCTACTCTAGGGAAAACCCTAAGAGAAGTATGATAGAAGAAAGCGTAAGACAAAAAGTCAGGCCTAACTATTCATTAGAACCTTCTGGACATTAACAGGACGGTATTTCAGCGTGGACTGCGGATCACTTAAGTGTCACCAAATACTGGGTGTGGCTGCACATACAGAAACTTGGCCACTGTATCTGAACCAAGAGGCTTCATTTTTCTTTTTTTTATTATAGTTGACCCACTATGGTTACATCAGTTTCAGGTGTACGACATAGACAAGTTTATATGTTATGCTGTGCTCACCACAAGCGTAGCTACCGTCAGTCACCACACACTATTCTAATACCATGGACAATATTCCCTATACTATACCTTTCATCCCTGTGGCTTGGTCTGTTAAGGACTTCATTTTTCTTATGGTAAACAAAACATCTAGAAATAGGCAGAAAGGGATGGGTGCAGGTGGTTGAGGAAGTTCTCACGGACGAGGCTGCTTCCTCTTCATCCTTGACCTGTGACTTATCCCCAGGGTGGCAATATGACATCGGTACCTCCAGGCATCCTATTTGCTTTCCAGCAGGGCAAGGAGTTTTCTTTATGAGGTTTTGCCTGAGTAAGGAATGGACTTCATCCCAGGCCGGCACTGTCCAGTGCCCAAACCTCTCACCTTAAGGCAAACCTGGCCTCCTGCATTGTCAGTCCATGGGGGTAGGCCCCTGGGCTCTGCACTGTCACACTCCTGTATGATTTAGTGCATTTCTAAACTTGAGATACCCTAATCTGCTCTACAGACTTGCTTTGGAGGCTCATTAGCATGTTTGATGGAACTAAAGGGACAATACTTTGTCCCATACGCATCAGTTGGGATGTGTTTGGCCTAAACACAACTCAAAAAGCCTTAAGTCCTAAAGACATGTATGTATTATTTTATGGACTGTCAGTCAAAAGGTAGGATGGGCTCATGGTTGGTGGACTCCGTGAAGATGATGGTCAGACTTTTTTCTCTCCACTTTGCTATTGACCTTCACAGCCTCATTCTATGGGTCCCCGTGCCCAGGTTGTCAGATGGCTGCTAGCAAGAGTCAGTGCTTCATGTTTTGTATGAGACAAAAAGGAAAAAAAGTTTCCAACTGCTGTCAGGAGAAAGAATTCTTCTAGAAACTCCAACGATCCTACTTGTAGCTCATTCCCAAGATTGGAATCACATACCCATTTCTGAACCAGTTACTGCCAAGAAAAGTGTTAATGACCTTTTGTCCAATTAACACACCCTTTAAGCTAAAATTAAAGGATTTCCTCAATTTGCATTGTCCCAAAGGTGTGCAACCAAATGGGAGTAAACTACTACATGGTTTGTTGCACCCAGTTGGCATTTTGGCTTGGCCATTTATTTGGACACAGCCATTTTGTCTCCCTTCCCCTTTGCCGAGTATCTCAATGCAGATTCCTACACAGGGTGGAGGTTAGAGGTGAGATCAGACTTGCAGCAAGATCACACAGGAACCACAGGTTTACCTCTGAGAATCTTAGGTGACTGAGGCAGTCCCACGGACTTCTGCTTCTCTCACAATGGTCATATGTAAATTCACTTCCAACTAATAAATCTTGAATACATAATGCAACTTATTCTGTTCTCCCATGAAAACTGAGAGCAGCAACTCTTGATAGGGGAACTCTATTCTCCATGCCTTCTAGTGCATTAAAGATGTACTTAGATCACCTGGGCCCTGGAAATGCATATTTATTATGTCATATATTATATCTGGAAAAGAATACTTTCACAAAGTCTAATGGCTTCACGGTGACAGAGCCAGAACTCCATTTGGGTATACTGGCCACCTTTTCTTTGAACCTTTTTGCAGCGTCTTTATATTGACATCATATATGTGGACAGAGTAGAGATGGCCAAACAAAACACCAGGGTTTGGGTGTCTGAGTGATAAGAAGCGCAACAGATTTATTGGGAGAAGAGTTGATGGATTTCATTTTGAATTTGCAGACCCAATGGCACATGTTCCATCTGTCAATAAAGATCAACACTCAGGCTTTGAATAACTGATTAATTGATTTAGACTTTGGACTGTCATGATGAAAGAAAGTTGAAGCCAGACTCCAAAAGACAAGGACAAGAGGCATCAAATAGCCAAGGGAAGAAAAGAGAGCAGCAAGGAGTCTAACAGTTGGAAAGGTGACAGGAAATGGGGGGCCCAAGGATTAGTTAGGAGATATCCTATAATAGGATCAGGTATTGGTTATTTTAAGGGCAAAGTATACTGTGACTCGAAGAGGTAAGAGCAAGACACACTTCTCTTGGGTCTTTCAGACCAGGACTCCTCAGGATATTGGGTAACTTGGAATTTTCACTACCTTCCCAACCTTCCTAGTGGCACTCAAATTTTGCATGTGGAGAATTCAAGGAAACTAAAGACTTAATGACTTTTCTACCACATGGCAACAGGCATCATTTTTTACATTATTCTACTCAATAAAAACATAGAGGGCTACATGCAAGGGACTATACCAGTGTGGGACACTTCTTTCGAAACCCAGTCTAACATAGTCTAACAAAAGTCTGAGAGACCATGAGTTCAGAGAAGTTAGTATTCTTCCAGAAATGCAGATGTACATCCTCAAGATTCATATTCTTAAGCCTCGTAAATCCAATTAATGTAATGTGAGGAGAGCTCTTTACAGCAAGGGTCACAAACTTGAGGACCCAGGGAAGTAACAGGAAGGAGCAAAGTGGACTGAGAGATGTGGTGAAATCTACTTATTCGTCAGCTGCTCCTCCATTTCCATCATATGAAATTTCACGTATGTGCCTTTGGAGAAAAGTCCCGATGCCAATCCTGGCAAGCAAAGCTCTGACCTGTCAGGAGTCTAAACTGGTACTTCAAAACGTGACAACAGAATTCTCTGCTCCAGTTTTAACAAAGTATTTATTTGCTGATCCTCAAAAAGCAAAAATCAGAAAACAGCCCCACCCCCTCAACGCAAGAATAGTTCTTTAATAAAATATTTTCAATCATTTCCTCCTTTTTTTCCAAGGCATGCTCTTGCTCGCGCCTATCAGTGTAGACCAGACGGACATATGGAAATACTCTGCGTGAAAGGCACACGGCTCTGTCGTATTGCTCACACCTCCTGGTACATCTCCCTGGCAGGCAGGCGAGTAGAGCCTCTCTTTTTTGAGAGAAATTTTTTGAAACATTTTCATTATAGCAAAATACTTAAAGATTCCTCCCCCACTCATCCCACTTCAGTTTTATCTACTGAAAAAGTACAGAACTGAAAAGTGTGTTGCCCCCGCTGTGATCAAAACCCTGAAGAGTGGAGAACATGGGCACTCCACAGGTTTTGGGGTTATACACTCATTGTCTATAGAGGAATTTGAAAGTCAAGTTCTGGATTTGACTGGAACAGCTAAAAACCTGACAGTCATTCTATGATGGAGCAGAGCAGACTTTCTCCACCATCAACTGAGACTACCTTGTCAATCCCAAATCCTGTAGACACCCAAGACTTGAATCTCACATACAGACTATATTTCAGAGACGGTCAGCAGAGAGTGCTACGGTACAGGAACAGAACAGAATGCTGGTGAAGGCACAGAGGAAAGGATCCCAAAAAATTTTTAGTGCCATTTTCGTTTAATAAGCCAGTAGTATAGCAACCTAAAGACCTTGGCTGTGATCACACCAGGATGTTGGGATGGAGCAGGTGCCGGAGAACATGATTGGCAGCCGGCGTCCTGTGGCTCACTGTGTTAACCACCTCCTTATGGCTGGGGTGTGTAACGGAGGTACTTCTTGCCAGACGGGAGCTCTTTGGTGAAGACTCCTTTAGGGAAAATTTTTTTGGCTTCATCTTCGGGGATGGTTGGAAGCACCATCACGCTATCTCCATCCTATTGAAAGACATTGAGAATGGTGAAATTCACTCTTACAGTGAAGCCTGAAGGCAAGAATTTGCTTCAGGAAAGTAGCCACAGGTGCTCATAATAACCCAGAGAATAACCCAGTACTGGTTACTATCTCCCCTCTGAGGAATTTTGTTTTCACGGATTGATCTTCGACACTTTTCTGAGACAACAATTCCCCCATCTTAATAAGAAATGGTTTTGTTTTAAACCCAGTGACAGCTCAGCACCACACTTTAAACTTTCAAGTCTAAGTCCTTACCACTGCCCTGTGTGAATGAATCCTGCCTGCTCTCTCATCCCTGACTCCTGCCCCACCTCCGGCTCCTGCTCTTCCAGACACGCTGGCTTTCCTTCCCTCATAAATATGCAGGACTTGGTCCCTTGCTTTCTTCACATCTTTCCCAAAGGTCCATTCGGACCCTGACAGCCAGTTATAAAACCCACCCCCCGACCCCTGTGCTCCCATTCTCTCCACCTCTGCTTTGATTATTCTCAGTCATACTTATTGCCACCTAACAACAGTAAACTTGCTTACTGTTTGTACCCACCCATTGGAATGTAAGCTCTCTGAGGGCAGGGACTTCTATTTACATTAATATTTATACTGTTCACCGCTGCTGTAGCCCAGTGCCCACTGCCTCAGCTCAATAAACACATGTTCAACGGACAGATACAGAATTAAAATGATTTGCCTGTCAGGAAAAACAAATCACCTGGGATTCAGGCTGACCATATTTTAAAAAGGTAGCAATGATAAGATACCCTTGTGATATTATCCCTGTCTGAGAATTCTATATGGGGTTTGAAAGACTAAATGAAGCTTAAGAGAAGTGAAATGCTCCAGACAACAATATACCAAATAGTTTTACCATGACATACCATGACTTCAGTGGCCAATCTAATTTTTGCTATAAATATTTTGCCATCATTTTGCTAGTTTTGGGAAAGGTTAAAGTCTTTTTTTTTTTTTTTTAAATATTTTACTAAGAAACTTTTCTAGGGCACCTGGGTGGCTCAGTTGGTTAAGTGTCCAACTCTTGGTTTCAGCCCAAGTCATGATCTCACGGTTTGTGAGTCTGAGCCCCACATCAGGCTCCACGCTGAGGGATTTTCTGTCTCTCTGCCTCTCCTCTCCCTGCCTCGTGCTCTTTCTCAAAATAAATAAATAAATTAAAAAAAAAAAGGAATCATTCTGACCGATTAATTTGATCAAGTGATCTGAAAGTCAGAAACCAATATGGGGAGTTTGTATTTTATATAAAAATACAAAAAAGACCTTGACAGTGGCCTCACAGTAAATCTGAAATCCACCATAAGAAAAAGTCCTGCCAGTGTGTGCACAAGCCAGAAAAAGAGCCCCTGAAGACAGCCATTTAGAGATCTGCCCCTTAGGCCTTGCCAGTGAGCTCGCATCTGCCCCTGTCATATCTTTACCTTCCAATCAACGGGGGTGGCAACCCTCTTTTCCGCTGTCAGCTGGAGAGAGGTAATTACCCTGAGAATCTCATCAAAGTTCCTGCCAGTGGTTGCTGGGTAGAGGATAGACAGCTTCAGTTTCTTATCAGGACCAAAAATAAATACCTGCAAACCACACAGATGCATAAATAGGAAGAATTCTTTTAAGTGTTTTTGATAGTAAAGCCTCTTTGAAAGCTCTTTAATTATTAGAAATGTTCAAGGGTATAGAAAAAAACAACCCCTCCTCCCCTCGCTCGCTCCCACCTTCAGCAAACATCTAGAAGGTACAAACTGTTAATCTGGGTGGCTTCAGTGTAGATTATTTTCTTCTTCAGGTGATTTTTCTACACTTAGAAGGAATTCTATTTGGTTCTGGGTGTCTCAGTAAGAAAACCTGATATACAAATTAAATCCAAAAAAGGCTTCAGGAAGGTACTATGTTAACTAGGGATGATTATCTTAAAAATATACTAATGGGGGTAGGGGACGCCTGGGTGGCTCAGTTGGTTAAGCATCTGACTTCGGCTCAGGTCATGATCTTGCAGCTCCTGAGTTCAAGCCCCATGTCGGGCTCTGTGCTGACAGCTCAGAGCCTGGAGCCTGCCTCAGATTCTGTGTCTCCCCCTCTCTCTGCCCCTCCCCTGCTTGCATTTCATCTCTCTCTCTCAAAAATGAATAAACATTTAAGAAATTAAAAAGTATATATACTAATGGGAGTTGATACTGGTCTTCAAATAGTTGTATACTTTTGCAGATGAGGGATTAAGTTTGTTCTCTAATAGGTAAGGACAGATAGGAATTCCAAACCAGGGCTGCCTTATGAAGCAGGGTATGGTCCACTACTCTAAAGAGAGGGCTGTTAGGAGAGCTGGAAAAAAGATTCCTCAATTGTAGATGATATCTTATGATAACTAATTGTACTTATGACAATGTACATTTCCAAAAGTTACCAAATTTAGCTGAAAATTTTACTTTGCTTTAGCAGTATGGATGATCAGTGAGATTGCCACTAATTATTTCTTAACTGGAGATACTCCGCTATGTCCTTGAGTTAGTGTAAGCATTCAACTGTACACGGAGCCTGGCCAGTCATGGGGACTACGTAATGGATTTCTACAACTCACCACACGAGCTGTCACAGGCATGCCCTTTTCGTCCTTCTCTGCTGGGTCCAGCATACCTAACAGGATGGCAAGGTCCCGATTCTTATCGTCAATGATGGGGAAAGGTAATTTCTCTGTGGGCTCCTGACCGTTGTAAGCATTGATATCCTGAAATGGAGGTGAAAGGGAAAAAAAAAATCTAAACCAGGTACATTCTCTGAATTCAATCAGTTAACATCTTGCAAGACAGGGAAGAGGATCACAATCATAATTTTCTCTAAGCAATTCTACTAAGAAAAATGAATGAATGAACACTCCTCATCCCAATCATTCACTGACGAAATAACAGTACAGTATGGTACTTAGGTTATAACCACAGACCCTTTTCATGCCTACGTCTCTTAAAATTTGGCATGAGTTTACTACCCTCAGAAAGCAGCAAGAAATGCTTTAAAAGACTAATATTGTAGACTTAGATCCCAATCTAAGGTACCTCTGGGTACCCAACAAGCAAATACCATCAGAAATAATGTGTTCATTAAGTCCATCAAACCAAAAGCAATGCCATGTGCAAAGATAATTCTACATATCTGGTCCCTGCCTGCTAAGAAACCCGACCCAGACATTAAGCTACTGTAAGGCAGATATTAAGAAATGGAAAAAAAAATCCTAAAACTTGAGGCAAATCCAAGAATGGAGAGTTGAATATATACTTTAAGGACAAGTCAAAGGTAAATTTACACTAGAGTGAAATCCACATAGAAAACCAAGCATTTTAGGTCTAAAGTGAAAGACAATTACTTTCCTCCTTAATCTACTCTCTTCCCCTAGTAAACTTCACTCATTTACTCATTCATTCCTACTTTTCCTATCCCTAGAAGCCTTTGAAAAAGAAAATCTAGCTCCGTTATTTGATCGAGCTTTGATGATAGCACTTCATGTGGGGTAAGCACGATTGCAAGTGCATGTGGATGAGTGAGGTGTGGCTCCTGCCTTCAAAGAAACTTCTACTTTGGCTAAGATGATTCCCATGTGATGTAGCAGCAAATGCAAGACTCTAATATTTAAATGGCAGACTGTAAATGCTGACATATACTTCTGTCCCCATTGATAGATAGGTCTCCTGAGTTAGAAAAGACTTCAGGAGAGATTCTACCTGGGGCCTTGAAGGATGGATAAGATTTTTCACAGGGAAGAGGAGCAATATTAATGAAACATGCAGGCAGGTCTGAGCATAAATAATTGAGAAGACAGTGAGTAACTTAGCTGGGTAGAGCTTTAGGAAGTAGCAGGAGAGAGGATTTAAAGTTGGAATAAGGTCTGTTTCTTATGTGGAGCCTTAAAAGTAACACAGAGGTTGAGGTCATGGCTGATGCAGAGCCTCTGTCAATTTCTCAGCAGAGATCCAACAGGACAGGAGTGCTATCGGTGAACTCTGAAATGGGTAACATTTTGACATATTCCTTAATTTTATTAACTTCCTTTCAGTTGTCACTGGTTTCCTAGGGAGTCATCACAACTAAATAATAACCAAAAGGGCTTTGTGCTAGAGGCACCCTGAAATTTCCTATGTAACCAGCTGAGTGTCAAAGTTCGGTCACTGCTTCTGATAGGTTGGACTTGTTTCCTTTTCAATGCTCTCACAATTCTGAAAATTCGAAGGCAGAGGCTCACAAGCTAAAATGAGCCCGGGCATGCTCCTACTTTAAAAGGTGTTATACAAAAGGCGGTCAACTCTTCCTTCACTGACTTCTAGCTTCAATGACTGCTGTGCAGCACTAATGGTCAACACTATCCCTCACCTGATGGGCATTACGTTATATCCATGAACATCAAAGAACCACATGCTTTCGCTTTATTCTATCCTAAATCAGACTAACTCTACTCTCTCTCATGGAGCATCAATGACAGCATCAGTGTGAGGTTCCAATTGCACTGCCATCGTTTCCTAGTCAGACAGTCTTGAGCAAGTCCCTCCAACTCTGTCGGAGGAAAAGTATTCTCAATGGCAAACACAAGAGCACAAACTACACACCTCCCATAAAGGGCTGCTCTCTGTCGGTGAGAACATGGCAGAAATGCAGTTACCATTTGCAGCCAAAGGTAAGGGATAAAAAAAATTCCACTGTAAGAAAGAGAAATACCCTTCTCTTTTCTCCTGTATATGATGCTTCTAATTTCAGACACTTGGAATTAACTAGCAGGAAATGGTGAAGGGCTGCAGCCCCAGGTGGCCAGGTCACGAGTCAGTACCACATCTTTCATTCAGCTGCATACCAAGAGCTTGACATAGTGCCTAGTACATTGTAAGCGTCCCTTTAGAGCTTAACTATCATCACTTTTTGGTGGCATATCGTAGCAAAGTCATCAAAATGTCCTCAAGTTTAGACCAACACATTTATTATCCAAGTAAGTCCTTTGTTGAAAGTAGACAATTCCTTCAGTTCATGCATTCAACACATAGGGACTGACTGCCTGGGATACTGAGTGCCAAGCACTGTTTGGCAGTGCACAAAACAGGAATCTGCCCTGTTGAGCCTAATGGCTGTGGACAAATGAACAAATGAAACTAGCAATGTGCAGAGCGTTAGATTTTAGATGGTGACAAGCACTAAAGAGAAAATCAGAGAGGGATAAGGAACATGGAGGGGAGTAATGATTTTAGTTAAGGAGGCCACAGAAGAAGGCCTAAGACCTGAAAGAGGGAAGGGCAAGCCACAAAGATATCTGGGGAAAGTCTTCCAGATAGGATTCTGCATCATTTTAAAGATGGAGCATACAAGTTTACCGAGGAACCAGTCATGGATATGGAAAAAACAGAGGAATTCAGTATCATGCCTGTATTTTTGGCTACTATGAAAACACAGAGTCCATGAGCTAAGATAAGTAAGATCTCGGATTGAGAAAAGGAAGCCAGTGTTAGACATACTAGGTGTGAGATGACAGGGCATCCCAGAGGAGATGGGAGCTGGTGGTGGCTGTATCAGTCTGGGAACCAGCAGCATCTGGCCCAGAGATGGAAATTTGGGGATCATGGCATTTGGATGTGAGTGGATGAGCTCACCAAGGGGAAGGGAATATATAAAAGAAAAGGTGTCCAATAAATGAATTCAGGGCAACTTTAGCATAAATAGGAGCTGGGGGATGAGGAAGCTCACTCTGACCATAAGCAGGAACCGCTTGAGATGTGGTGAGGAAAATGTTCCAGGGCATACAATGATCAGTGGGTTAAAGGCCAGGAGTGGTCCAGGAAAGATGAGGGCTAAGAACCGAGCATTGCATTTAGCAAGGTAGAGATCATTGTACAGTTTAGGTCAGATTTCAAATAATAAATGAAGTCTGAATTTGACGTTACTTGTACCTTTACCTCAAAAAAAACCCAAGCTACTCCACATAATTTATACCTTGATCTATAACCTCAAAGCACATGCCAATTGGTACTATACCTTACTCCAGGCAAGATGGTCTTCAACACTGTCCACTGAGAGGGCAATCATCTTCACGTTCTTCTTGGCAAATTCTGGTGCCAGCTTTGCGGCTCTGCCGAGCTCTGTGGTACACACAGGGGTGAAATCTCGAGGGTGGGAGAAGAGAATGCCCCATCTGAGATGAAGGAAAAGAAAGCCAGAGTTTATGGGAGGGATTATCACCATCATGTAGAATGAGAAATCACAAATCCTAGGTCAAAAATGAATTCCTTTTTGAAATATGGGGCGCCTGGGTGGCTCAGCTGGTTAAGTGTCTGACTTAGGCTCAGGTTATGATCTCACTGGTCACGAGTCCAAGCCTGCTTCAGATTCTGGGTCTCCCTCTCTGTCCGTCTCCCACTCACGCTCTGTCTTGGTCTCTCAAAAATGAATAAATGTTAAAAAAATAAATAAAAATTTAAAAATGCTTATGAGGACAATTACTTTTAAATTTTTGTCGAGGAATGCTTTTCAATCTTCTTACTTCAAGAAAAGCCTATGTTGAAAGCCTGATTCAACCAAACATGAAATTCCACATGATAAATGTCTTAAAAGACTATAATTTAAGGGTGTTGCCTCCTTAAATAACTATAGGGCCACTCTGACTCTATTTTCAGCTCATGAAATCTGTGGACTCAAACCAACAAGTTTATTGAAATAACTTTTTTCCCCCTTCTTAACCACTTCTACTTTTTTCTAGGCTACAATAATGGATGTCCCAATATGCCCCAATCCAAACAAATGCCTGACTGCAATAATAAACAGGTTACATAATCTCAAATAAATAAGCTTCTATCCTCTTTTTATATGTAAAATTAAAGTTGACACTTAGCTTCTTTGTGGTGAATGGATATAAAAACTTTTGTAAAGCCACTGAGCCTGCCAAGCAGGACACGCAATCTCTGCACCCTGACGAAGCTACTGCACTCTAAGGGCTTTACTTGTTTCTTCCTTTGTAGTTTCTTAAAAAAAAATTTTTTTTTAAATATTTACTTTTGAGAGAGAGACAGATCGTGAATAGGGGAGGAGCAGAGAGAGATGGTAACACGGAATCTGAAACAGGCTCCAGGCTCTAATCTGTCAGCACAGAGCCCAATGCGGGGCTCAAACTCATGGAACTGTGAGATCATGACCTGAGTTGAAGTCAGATGCTTAACCGACTGAGCCACCCAGATGCCCCTTCCTTTGCTGTTTCTTTTCCCTTGTGCTTTTCACCACAGAGGCAAGAAACCTGGCCACCTACAACATAGATTTTGACAAACACAAATATCTAAATCATCATTACCTAGGATGAAACTTTGTACAGATTTTTAAGCACATTTCCAGCTAAAAGTCACAAGGACTTTGGGAATAACCATTTCCTTCTCCTCGGCAACAGAACCTACTCTTCTGACTGAAAAGGAAAATTTAACACTGGGTTGTCCACACCCTGTGGACTTACGTTAAACCAGGATCCTAAACTAATAACTCTGCCCCGCCTAGATGCCAAGCTTGACCTCTCAGTTTGCCAAGTTTCCTGAGGCACGAAGAACAAAGCAGAGAAACAAGGGTATCTCCCTCCCACCTACATCTGCCACTAAACTCTCCAGTCTTCAGGAAAGGAAAAGCCTTCCTACAGCAAGGCTGGAGGGCCCTACGGCAAGACTGGGAAGAGAGAGGTAATATTTTGAAAATTCTGGAAGTTTGTGGCATGTTTACCTTGTTATAAAGAGGAACATACATTTTGTGAAATAAATAATCTAGGTATGGGTAAAATCTAGGGCTTTGATTCCATGGAAAAGGATCTGTTTAAGGGTCAGATGAGACTTAAGAGAAAGTTTCCAAGAGCTGAGAAAAAAAATAAATAGGGCCTTTCTTCCTGAGTTGTTAAAGGGTTGACGAATTAGAAGTGTCAGACATGCTCTTTCCACTGGGCATCAGAAAGGTTTTGCTGAATCATGCTTAAGGAACTCAGTTTAAGCCGCTTCTCATCCTGTCCCTGTCAGAGGCCAAACTCCAGTGTGCGACATGGCTAGGAATGGGATGGGTCTGCGAATGTCTTACTATGGCCTGCATTCCCCTAACCCTAAATGTGTGTGCTCTTAAGAGTCGTTCAATTACACTATCCCATTTCCTTCCTTCCTCATTTTCAAAAGACAAAAGGATTCCTCCTTTAAGAGAAGGGTCCCCACTCACTAACCCCCAGAAAACAACAGGAAAACCAGTTTTGTTTGGTGAAGGTGCACTGTAAAGAAGCTGCTTCTAACTCATACATAATGAAACAAAGCTAAAGCTCGTTAAACTCACCAAATGGAGCACCCAAACCCCTTAGTTGTTTCTAACTGTCAGGGGTAGGGCAGATACCTGTAATGCTTGAAATTATTATTTTTTTCTCTCTCCAAAAAACACCTGGATCAAAAGCTGACCTCCAAACTGAGATCACACACAGAATGGAGTTGGAAAAAACCATATTAGGCAAGATCCGTGTATTGTAATTATATAAAGAGATCAAACTTTTCAGGGTAGGGGAGGGAACACAATCCATGCCTGACCTGAGACAGACTTGTTATGTTACTTGTTTATAGATGCAGATTATTTTTCTCTTTTTCCTACTGGTGGCTCCCTGAGAAGACACCACTTTTAATGAAATTCAGATAGATTCAGGGCAAGTAAACAACAGCAAGAAACCCAAAAAAGTAGGTTAGCTTAAATAGTGACAGCATTTATAATGATTGCTATAATAAATATGTTTTATGTCAATATCTTTATACAATCTAAGAGTTCTGATAGGGTTTTATTCTATGGGGATGAGGGCTGTAGACAGGAATGGAGAGGAACATACTCTAAAAATCCCATGGACTTTTAGAGAAACACTAATACCTAGAGTATGAAATTGGGCACAGTCTGTATTTCCGAGGTCTCTCCCTGCCTTTTAGGATCCAGATGTTCCATTTCTCATCTTTTTTCTAGCCTAGTCCTTTCACAAAGTTTAGCATTTCCCTTCCATTGGTGGCTGGAAAATAGACTTAAGAGATTTTAAGGGGTTGTGCAGGCCTAAGATGTTAAGAATCCCTCCCAGGTTCTCTGCATAGCCCTGTCCAGTCACTGATGAATTTCATGAACTTCCCTGTCCCGGTCTATACACACATGTATCTGGACACTGTAAATAAAAAGGATGCAACTCATAGAGGAACTGTTAAGCCTTAGAACACCACAGTGCAGGAAGAACGAACAAAAAGCCAGGAAGAAACTCATAAATGCAGAGAACTGGTAGCTGCCACAGGAGGTGGGGGGATGGGTGAAATAGATGAAGGGGATTAAGAGGTACCAACTGCAGTTACAAAATAAGTCATGAGGATGAAAAGCACAGTATGGGGAACAGTCAATAATATTATAATGCATGGTGGCAGACGGTGCCTACTTACTGTGATGGGCACGGAGTAATGTATAGAATTGTCTAATCACTCTGTTGTACACCTGAAACTAATATAACATTGTGTGTCAACCATACCTAATAATAATAATAATAATTAAAAAAAAGGGAAAACCAGTGTGGTGGGGCCTAACTAGAACTCCAGAACCATAATATAATGACATGTATCTGGTATGTTTCGGATTAAAACCAAGCAACTTAAAAGCTTGCTGATTCAGGGGCTGTAAAATGTAAAACCTGGGCAACACCAATTTACTCCTAGTGAGAATGGTCGGACTGCCAGGCCAGATCTGGCTATCACCGGCAAGGCCACGTGCTGGAAGCAAGTGGGGGGGGGGGGTGCGGGGTAGGAAGCAGTGAAGGGCACACGACTGGGAAACAAAAGGGTCTCAAAAGCGGGGAGGTCCAGGCGCCTGCAGTGGCCTACCGCGGCAGGAACAGGCCACTGCAACTGAGCAAACTCAGAAAAGCCCTTCCCTCCAAGTGTTGCAAGTTCTGGAATGAAGGACACACCTACATACAGAGTGTTCTTGGTTCCTCCCAAAGCGGTTATCAAATCGTATCCCAGCCACCGGAGGAGGCTCTGGACAAAAAGTCTTTCAGCCACTTATTTGGCAGCTGGTGGTTGAAAAATTTTACATTCTGGGTCGAGAAGCCTGCAAATACCACCGCAGCAAGCAGGTCCTCCGTGCGCTGGGCCGTCCCAAACCTTCCGCCCACAGCAGTGTCCTCAGACTCTGGCCTTGGACACTCACCTTCCCCCAGGGAGCAAATTCCAGAACCGAGGGAGCGAGTGCGACCCGGGCACAAGTCCCGGGAAGTGATCCCTCATGCGCCCGGCCCTTGCCCCGGCCGCCTCAGCTCGACCACGCTACTTACACCGCTTCCCAAACCGAGTGATACAGGCAACAAACCCCCGCATCGGCGTCCGGTTCCCGGACCTGAGGGAACCCAATTTCGTCCCCCTCCCCCTTCCCCGCCGCGGAGCCGCCTCGGCCACGCGCGGGCCGCCGGCGGGAGGGGTTCGAGGGGCCGGCCCCCAGCAGCGCTCGGTCGACGCGGGGCGGGGGCCCCTCAGCCAGAAGCACGTGCAGGAACCGGTGCGGGAGGAGGCGGGCGGCGAGCAGCGGGCTGAGCAGGGAGGACGGAAGGGAGAAGAAATAGGGAAGGCACCTTTGAGGCCGGGCGTAACCCGAGGATGCCGCAACGCTACGAGCTGGCCACTTACGAGTCTCCCAGATAGTCGTGGAAACGGATACGGCCGATGGTAGTATTGGCCTCGAAGTTGGGAGCCTCGTCCCCGAGAAGGAGACCTCCAGGCATGGCGGCAGCAGTGACGCGGGGAGACGAGGAGGCGCAGCAATGACGGCCACCAGCTTGCCGGCTCCGGCGGTGTGGGTGCCGGCCGCAGAGTAAATGGGGCCGCGAGGGGCGGGGTGCGGGCGGCGTGGGCGGGGCCAGAGGCGGGATCTAGGTGGGGCGGGGCCGTGGCGGAGCGAGGGGCGGGGCGGAACCGGGCCGCCGCCCGGGTGGACCGAGCCGCGGCCCGCGCCGGTGGGAGGGAGGGGCGGGGCCGGCCGGAGCGATGGGCGGAGCAAGGGCGGGTCAGTTCTGGGACCTGGTTTCCAGCCTCTGAACCTGCCGGGAACCTGTGGGCGCCGGCGCCCGTCTCCACTCAAGTGACAAGGGACTCAGTGACCCCTGAAGGCTTGGGGGTGAGGATTGATCCTGCAGTGCCTCTGGGCTTTGGTGGTGCAAGGAAGCTGATCTCAGTAGAAGGGGAGCCCCAAGGCGGAGAATGGGCTGGGGGAATGACGAATCCGCTATCCTCCTATACGCTCACTCTTGGGAGCCTGACCCCTCCCCTTACTCCTCTTTAAGTATGAGCTTCTGGAATCCTGACCGCCCCAGCTAGCCTGGCCATCACGACCTCTGTATCAGAGGATGTGGCAAGACCCAGACGTGTAAGGGACCTTATGTCAGAGGAAGTGGCTTTCGTATTGCAGCAAAAATTCCAGCACCTATGTCAGTCAGTGCTTCGGGAAATGTGACTAAACTTTTTTCACTCCCCTTTCCCAGAGTTCATTATGAACCATAAAATATTTAACACAATTATCTTGCAATTTACATATGCATTTTAAAACATACGTTTTGTGATCTGCTGTATGCAAGTCAACTCTGCCACCCAAGGAAGTGGGAAGTTTACATTCATTTATTTGCTCTCTATGTGCCAAGCACGAGGTAGACAAAATAACTGTTCTCTTGGAGTTTTCATTCTAGTGGGGGAGACATAACTAAGCGAGAATATATTAGATTATATATTTATTTAATAAATATATTAGATAGCAGTAAAACCTACTTCGAGAAATGAAGTTATGTGCTGGAGGGTGACTGGGTGCTGCTTTGCATTGGATGGTCTGGTTTGGGAAAGCCTCCAGGATAATGTAGGTAAACTACTTAGCACATAGTAAGTGCTCTGGAAATGGTAGCTGTTATTTGGATGATGATAATGGCTTATGCAATACATCTTGCTTTGCCAGCTGTGTGCATGGCACTGTGCCAGGCCTGGTGATACAGTGAAGAGCTGCAGTCCCTGCCCTTATAGGGAAGGCAGATGTACATGCAGCTTTGATAAAATTATAGAGTAAATGCTAATGGGAGAGGGTGCCAAATGGTTGGAGTTCAGAAGTGGGAAAAATCTTCTGCACGGAGCTTCTTAGCCTTAACGAAGGCACATGGCAGTGTTAAGAGAAGTGACTCACATACTGTGATTTTAGTTTTCATCACAGTGCTGTGTGTGTGGAGTGCGTGGTGCGTGTGTTTGTGTGTGCGCATGCGCGCGCATGCCGACCATATTTACTCCGTTCTCCTCTGAACAAGGGTTTACAGTAAGATTACTGGTAAAATTCCTAGCCACTCTAGAGAACTCCACAAAGCTACTGTAATTTAATATCTCAACTAATTTGACTCCAGGCTTTGATTTTGAAAGCGTTGTGTCTTAACTCCATTTGTGGGGGAGGGAGAGATAGAGGAGGGAAAGGAGGGTAATTTGACCTAATGCACTATTAATAACACCATGGAGATAGCATAGAAAACACAGATATACCACCACTATGGAGAATGAATACAGAAACAGGCTATTGATCTCTATAAAAAGCATAATTATGAAACTGTCTGTTGTAAATTAAGCAAATACACATGCAATAAAATCAAATAAAGGCCTGTTAGCATTTAAAGCTCCAAAGACTGCACCCTGGAAATCCGTATGCACTCTGGATGCTTATTTGTTTTAATCTTTGTCGCATCTTAAATTCTTTTGAATTAGCTGACATTTGAAAGACAGATTTTTTTTTTTACAAAAATATCTGGATTTCTGTCTCCTGGAAAGGTCTAGCCACACTGGCCGTATTCCATGTGGGTGAACAGTGGCTGGAGAGATGCCTTCTAAGGGTGCATATGTTCCCTGTTATTTAGAAGGTCCTTCACTACTTACTGACATTAAGCGTCTATGGTCATTTTAACCCCACTCTGGCACTGTTGTTTTTCTTAGAGTAGAATTAGGAGGAAAATGGATCCTATCCTAATGTATCCCTATTTCTTTCAAAATTGTGAAAATGAAAAGTTGACCAAAGGCCATATGTTTCAAGGAGGAACAAGATAGAGTATATCTTTGTCAAAGTAAAGAATATTCCTATATACTTAATGTGCCAAGTCGAAAGAATACATCTGTCCTGCCTGGCCCTTGTAGTGAGTTAGTTTAACCTCTGTATTACATGGAAGGCCGATGCTTGATGGGCTGAGCCCATTCCAGAGGGAAGAAGTGCCATGGGCTAAGGAGGAAAAGAGGAAGGGCAAGGAAGACATTCCAGGGAGAGGCCAGAATGTGGAAAAAAGGAGAGGAGGATAAGGGAGGGATTTACTTCGCAGAGATGGTAGAGGCTCTGATACCAGGGGGGAAAAAGTTTTCAGGCCGCTGGCAGTGTTGAGGAGAATCTTGAAGTCCTTAGAAGTAACTTCTGGGTGACAGGGAGGAGGGGACTGCAGAGATTTTCAGGGGGCTTTGACTCCTGTCTGATTGATAGGGTCTCCTATCTTTATTGCTTTATAAAGTGCATTATGTTTCTCTCTCTTATTCTCTCATTAGGTTGTGAACTCCTAAAGACTTGACCATATTTTTTTACTGATACACATTTGTGACCCGTTAGATGTGGTGGGCATGGGGCTAGTTACACAAAGTGTTGGAGAAGCATTTGGCTACCTCTTGCAGCCACACCAACAGGTCTGTCTGTCTGTAGCTGGAAATAAAAGAGCGACGTGTCCCTAGTTATAATTGCAGCTAGGGAGAAATTCTCATGTATGTAGGAGGAAATAAATAAACTTGAAATTAATGGTAGGAATGTGGGATTAGGTTTTTAAAAGCAATTCTTATAAGCTTTCTTGTTAAATCTGATGGTTGTTTTTTTTTTTTTTTTTTTTCAGAAATAAAAATGGAAAGAAGGCTGGTGCACAGGAAGCTGTACCTGCTGTTCAGGACAGTGCTGTTCACCCACTATAGGGAGTGGGGCTGCTGATCTCGCCACTGTCCTTTATCTTGTGTAACGCCGTTGCTTCCTCCCTATTGTATCTGCTACAGGACATCTGAATTGTGGAAAGAAACAATGTGGGAGTAAAAATGAAAAGATGACAGTTTCTAAAATGCTAGAATGATGAATAAGTCTCAGTAGGGCTCTGGAGTAATAAGTTCTGACACTTATTTCCCCAAATAAAGCACTCTGAAAGGTTACGGTTTACCCTGCAAGAGATTGCTTAGTAAATTTCACAGACAATGATTTTGGGAGGAAAATTTGTTACAAAGCGTTCAAGGGTTAGATTTAGAGATGTCATACAATCATTGGGTAACTAAGGACCACATGCCAACTTAAAAGTTAGCCAGTTCTCTCACCTCCTTTTAGTTGAGCATAACGGGCCCTAGGCTATATAGGGGAAGAATTTATTACTGTTACAGAGTGGGCAAGGAATACAAATTTGTGAAACTTCATACTGGAGATCCATAGAAACCATCATAGGAAAGAGGGGAAAAGGGAAGAGAGAGAGAGAAAAGAGGGAAAGTGGACAGCAGAGAAGTCACAAGAGCTGGTGGGGAGAAGACAGAAGGAAAACAAGGAGAAAGGGACATTTGGAGAGGAACCGATTTGGATTCCTGCCCGCCTTGCCTGGGCCTCCCTCCACAGGAGAGCTGGCCACACGGTCCTGCCACTCTGGCCATCAGTGATTGCACAGGGCTGGGTGTCTGGCCCAAAGGCAGTCAACCTCCAAACTGGCTAGCAGCCCGTGAGGGAGCCTGACACAAAGTGTTTGTTTTATTATGGGATCCTCTCTTGGTGGCTGGAATGCAAGAGCACAGATTTAGTTAGCAGTTCACAGCCGGGACAGGAGCTGAAAGCTGGTCAGGGAAGGTAGTAAGCAGAAGCCATGAGGTGGCCCTGAGAAGGGTGGAGAGTGGCAGGAACTCTAGAGGCAGAATAGCAGGTGACTGATGCTGAAGGCGGATAAGCACCCAGTCACAAAAGCTACACTGGGTACTCGTGGCCTGCTAGCTTCCAAACTCAAACTAGCTTCCAAACTCAAACTCTCTGAGGCCTAGTGCCAAGAGTGAATTAAGGTCAGTAGTGGGAGAAGTCTCCTCAGGGAAAGGGAATCAAGTTATGCATTGCCTGAGAATTTAAATATAATAATAATATCAGTCTGCTTGTTATTATTAACAAAATCTGGCACTTCTAAGCAACGTTTGTGATAAAACAGTCCTAGAAAAATCTGGATGTTGATCTAAATTGTTAACAGTTGCTGCAGTTCTTGTTGAATTTTAAGAATGTATACATAAGATCCAGTTTAGCACATTTTAATACTCTTCTTTGAGGGGAAAAAGTATACTGCATAGAAGTTAATTTGGAGAACTCTCCATCATATAGTCAGCTCTCTGTATATGTGGACCTCATTTATTTCAAGAGTGAATTGATTGTGGTTCAAACTGTCTTGCAGCACAGTTTCTGTCAATAACTCCAACATTTAATAATTTGCTGCATTTAAATAGTAGATTTGAAGTAAACATTAGCTCAGTTGTTAGAAAGTAACAGACCTTAAGTTATTTTCCTGTGACTGCTTAAAAGTTTTGTGTTTAAAATTTAAAGCACATGTACACCAAAAACTATAAAACATTACTAGAAGAAATGAAAGAAGATACAGACGAATGGAAAGATGTCCCATATTTATGGATTGGAAGACTTAATAATATTATTAAGAAGTCAACTACCCAAAGCAATCTACAGGTTCAGTGTAATTCCTATCAAAATCATGAAGTTATTTTTTGCAGAAATAGAAAAATCCATCCTAAAATTCACACGGAATACCAAGGAACCCTGAATAGCC